TTGAGTGTTATTAATAAACATAAATGAAATTTAATTTTGTGGCTATCATATTACTATTGAAGTTGAAGAAATTAAATTAATTAGAAATTAAATGGAAAATTCATAAGTGATGATGTTATCCAAGTTTACGATTTTTTTTTTAAATTTTGCAAACATTAATATTTGTTATTACAATAATTATTTTACATTAATTACATATTAACATACATATATAATTTTATGTTGAATACATATGCAGCTAAAAGGTGCAACATCATTCTACTCCAACATTAAATTTTAATCGAATCGATGAGATTCTATTCAATAGGATATTAATAAGAATTAAGGTCAAAATATAATAGATATAGGTGGGTACATCAATTTCTATATATTTAAATCTTTAAAGGACTAGTTAAAAATTGAAGCAGAAGAAATTGAAAAATTGAAGCTGCAATGAAGAATAAGAAATTTAAGTACAATATTGTTTTGCCAAGAAAAAAATAAATTATAACGTTAAAAGCTTTATTGGCATAAATTTAAGTTGGCACAATCTAAAATTCTAAACTATTACACATAGCTTATATAAATACGAGTAGTATAAATTATTTTTTAATGGCAATAAATTTTTGAAATAATAATTCGTGAAAATCGATATTTACAAAAAAAAAAAGCTTAAATTATTATTTATAATACCGCAACAACAACTTCACGATAAATGTATGAAACTGTTATACTGAGGAGAATTGTTTTTTTTATACTAATTTTGTTTTTTTGCCTTGAAGTTCGTTCTAGTAAAAAAAATACAAACAATTATGTGAATGCAAAATCGTCAACCAACTCTCATCTCAATTGAAAAATTGTTAGAGCTAAATAGTGCTCAATATAATTTGACTAAATTCGTATATCACTTAACGGACGGGCCCCGTAGATTTACGTTTTTCCATTCTGACTTCCTAAGACAGGCCACGTAGATTTGCGTTTTCGCATGAATTTTTAGTATGTTGCATTAGGGGTTTTTTCTTATGCACATTGTTATCTTTTCTTGATACTATTATTTAAAGTAATGGTAAAAATGGCAAGCAGCAAAGACTGTTAAGAAAACTTATCGGGAAGTGAAGTTGAGTTTGAGAGCCTTGATGAAGAAAGTGATGTTTCAAGTGATGAAAGCGAATTTTTATCTCCCAGGGGAAAAAAAATTCACTTAGATTATCGTCTTCAGAGAGTGAATTTGAAGAAAGCGAATTAAATAGAAAACAATGGACATCTCAAGACAAGTTAATGTCTCTAGAACCTTTTCTTGGTTCTACTGGGGTACAACAATACTGTAATGAAATATTATAAGAAATATATTTGATTTATTATAGTTTTATTGTAGTTACAACGCTTTAAATCCATACATGCATGTTTATTAAATTCCCCTGAAAAATGCCCGGAAACTATAGGAAAGACAGAACAGGTTTGACCTGTTCGTTAAGTGATATAATTGGTTAAAAATGCTTGCATTGTAACGTTTTAATACTTTGGAAAATTTTTCATTTTTATTATAGTTTTTAGTTATATTCGACCGAAATCTATATAAAAACCATTTCAATAGACCTCTTAAGCATAATAATTGTGACCGATATTTTCTTATGTCAAATGATGTTTGAAGGTCAAATATCAATTAAATTGATTTATTAAAGTACAAATTAAATTCAAATTTTCAATTTTTTTGTATAATTTTCATTAAAATTTAAAAATCAAGCGCTTAAAAATGCTTTAATACAAAAAATTTTACAAGTTTCCTACAATTCTATTTTAATGAAATCTGACATCGTATAAAATGGAATTATTCTTGTTATTTAATTTTTCTTTATTTAAATTCTAGTAATGAATTTTATTGATAGTTTTTTCTAATACTATTCTCATGTAATTCAGAATGTAAATATTCCAAGATTAAAAGTGTCATTTGAATCAACTAATTCAAATAGCTCTGAATCGTAAAATTATATTGTACAATATTCTTTAAATTTTTATGTAAGTATACGTACATGCACTTAATAATATTAATTAATATCAATTGATAATCTTGTGTAACAAATATATTTTAATTTAAATAAATTTTTTTAAAATGTCAACTTGTTAAAAACTATTAAGAGCGAGAAATAAAATAAATTTATAGAAAAGTCTTGTAAATTAATAAAAGATTTTTTCTCTATTGCAAAATCAGTATGTACATATTTACATAGGTGTTATGTTTAGACATTTATATTATATTTATGTGTTTTATATTTTAAAGGTTATAATTTAAATATAAAAAATATTGTTTGCAAATAATTTTAAATTATTAATTTTTTTATAATATAGAATAAATATTAGCAAAAACAAAAAAAAAATAAGTTTATAATTCAATTAAATTATGCCAAAAAAACGATCATCGAAAACCCATAAATGTTTATTACTTGGACAAGTTCGAAAATCAAAATCTAATGGTCTACCTTGTCCTTGTCTAAAAATTAATTCAGATTTAATAAGTCGTGGATTTCTTACTTCTTACCATATAAGGTAAAATTTTAGTTAACTAGTTTTCATCTATATAAAAAATAATCAATAATAAAAAATTTTAATAAATTTTTTTTTAAATAATTTTTTTACTTATTCTCACAATTAAATTTTTTTCTATAAATTTTCCACAATGATATTTTCTTAATTAATTTTTCAAATAGAAAAAACAAATTAAATATAAATCAAAACAAACGACCCAGACAAAAAATATGTTTCGTCTCTTTTTTCTCTCTTTTCTTTATACAATTTTTAATGCTTAATTATTGCACTAATTTTAAATTTTTTATTATTTTTTTTTATTAAAAAAAATTATTCATGTTGCAATTGCACAATTTACAAAGTTTTTTGCTTACCATTTATGGTTATTAATAAGACTGTATTTTTTTTTCTTAAAATTTTGTGCCTCGAAATTCCGTGAATAACTTCTTAAATATGAAATTTTATTTAAATGATACTATTAGAATGAATGACCTTAACTGAATGCCATTTATTATGATTTTTCCGAAGGGTATAGGTAAAGGGAGTACAAATTTTAACTTAAGTCTTAACACATTATGAGCGGGCGGCTTAGCCTGGGCAACAATGTTGCGTAGCGGACGAATATACAATGTATACATCAGGATACATAAAAAGTTTGAGGACCCTATTACTCAAAAAATAACAAGTTTTTGAAAAAAAAATATAAGAATAAAAAAATGTCTAGAATAAGTTTCTACATCCATATTGCCTATAATAGGATTAAGTGACAATCCACACAAGCGGTTACAAGTGTCCGATCTGCTCATAATGTGCATATATCCAAAAACTGCGAAATCTGCAAAAAAGGCATGTTCGATAAATTTCTAATAAGCAGAAAAGAAAAGCATGTTCAAAAATGACAGTTGTGCTGAAGGAATTTTTATAATTTTTAGAACTGCTGCAAAAATACTATGAATTAGAAGAGTAGCATAATAAAAAAAAATTGCGGATATTTTCTAATATGTAACAGTATTAATGACAAGGCTCAACTAATTTTGGGGCATTACAAATCTGCAAAAGTAAAATATTGTTTATTTAATTTACAACTTTCACTGCATTTTCTGAGTTATCGAAGATAACCATACTTTAACACAATTTTATTTTATTTCATTCGCAAATTTAATATGAATTCTCCAATTAAAATCCAATTGATTTGGTAACACCGTATGTAAAGTTTTTTGTTATTTTTGTTTTTGTAAAATGTAAATTGACTTTAAATATTTACTAGACCCATGAGGAAATGGCTTGAATGCTTTAGTAGAAATTTTTTTAAGAAATCAAATCATTAATAATTAATTAAGAAAAAAAAAGCAAGCAAAAATCTGTAAGTAATTCGAATAATGAACTTAAATTGGAAATAAAATATACATATGTATATGTTTGTAAATATATAATAATATGCGTAGGCAATTTGAAGAAATTCTTAAGTACACACATACTTACCAAAATATACTCTTGTTTTCGCTTTTTTGCTCGTGTTATTCAGTTTATGTTGGTGTTTAATATTCTCTGTATATTCTAACATATAATAAATGGTTACACTTATTGGAAACTTCATATTTGTATTACATTAATCATAAAGTCAAATTCAAATATATAGATAGTACCTCATATGAAATACCGTTATAAATTAACTACTGAATCGAATAAATAGCATTTTTACTGTACCCAACAAGTTTTACAATTGGTTTATGTAAATTGTTTATATATTGGCTATAGAAACTGTCTTTGAAGCGTCAAATGTTCATATTTACAGTATGTATGTTTGTAATATTCTTGTACAGTAGTATGTAGTAGAAATAGTAATTTAAAAATTTAACAATAATTTTTGCATTCTACACATTTATTTTTTTTTTCATATAAATTTTTGTGTTATAAAAGAAGAATTTGAACAAATTGAAAATAAAATTTTGTATATGTATATAATTATGTAATATTATAATACGATATTTGTAGGGTTGATATTTTTCAAAAATTCAATTCTTAACATTAGAGCTGCAAAATTTTAATATTTAAAATTCAGGGTTAACACTTTTTTTTAAATTTTAAAAAAATTAATTTAAATATTTTTTCTTTTTTGATTTTGTTTTGAGGGCTAGGTTTACTTAATGTTAACAAACTTAAATTCAATTTGATAAAGAGCATATAAGGTACATTACTACAGTTCTAACGTTAGAAACTGGATTTTTAAAAAATGCCAATATTTATTTATTTAGTTTTTTTTTGTGATCTCATATCACCTTAAACAAATCTCATATTTTGAAATATGAATTATTTGATTATTTACCAAAAATTAGTTCAAACATGTACATACATATATTTATTTTAGTGCTTTTTTTTTTAATATTTATTTAATAAATTTTTTTAAGTCATCTGTGAATTTATATAAAATAATTTTGTTAAATTAAATAAATTTCAATTTTTATTCAAATTTAATGTTATTAAAAATTTTGTTACAGAAGCAGTATGCCGACTTCAATTTATAATAATTTAGAAAGTGTTAAAAATTCAACAGTACCTATGTAAGTATTATTAATATAATATAAATAAAAGTAACAGAGACAAGCTCTCATCCTATAATTCTTATAATACAAGTTCATCAGAATTATAACAATAACATTTTTCTCTCAACATTTTCTTTTAAACAAATTAAAACGTATTCACCATCACTATACTACCACTTTTAAACCATTATTAGTGTTATCAATAAAAAACAACTAACACTTAATTAACAATGATTATTAATTTACTATTAATGAGAGAAGAAAAAAACAGTAGTTACTTTTAATTTTTTTGTTTTGATAAATCTATTTTTTTTTCATTTCGATTTTTCATATACTAATTACTCATATTTATGTATATATGTGTACATTTTTCATACTAGAATGGCCCAACGGTCAGCAAATCTTCGAAAATATTATATATACGATGCTCGTTTAAAAGTAACAAAAAATGAATTTGATAAATCTAGAAAGCGTGTGGAACAACTTAAAAGAAGTCATAATAAAAAAATTCGGTAAATTATTCTACAAAAAAACAAAAAAAAAACTTATTAAATTATCCAAGTGGCAAATTATACTTATTTACTAAAAAATTGTAATCAATATTTTATAATTTAATATTTTAATTACTTACACAGAAAAAAAAAAACTACTTAATGTTTTAATTTTTCCCTATGGCAAATTTTACATTGTTTGTATTTTTTATTTGGAATTTGAATCTTTTTGTGTGCGTGTGTATGTGTGTAAAATACTTCCTTTATTATTATTACCTATAAAAAATAAATTCTTATTAAACAAAATGTTGTAAATTTATTCTACGATTTCTTAAAACTTATTATAACACTATATTTGAGAAAATATTACTTATTAATTGGTGTGTTACACTCTGTACTCAATTGGTTAAGTAGCTCGATCAAAAGAATATTTTTGATAGTTATAACCTTGAACTAATAAAGAATAAATTCGAAAGTTCCAATAAAATTTGTAATTTTTGAAAATTACAGTTCCAATATAAACTTAGATTTTTGAGAAAAAAGTACTGCAAAAACAAAAATCCAAGGAAGATTTGATCAAAAATATTTGGTCAAATTTGGTAAAAATAAATAAAATTCTCAAATTATTTGTGCAAAATCTCAAAATATCAGCCAGTAAATTTTCAGAAATAATATTTTTAAGAATGCAGTTCACATTCTTGCACAATGAAAAACTTTCAATAATATTGTGATCAGTGCTGTAGTCGTAAAATTAGCATAGGGTATACGCTTGAGAATATAAATTTTTGGTAAAAATAAACAAGGTTATTTTTAATTATATTTTTATTGAAAAACAAACACCCACTTTTCATCAACAATTAAAAACAATTTAAATAAGCTTTTAAGCCAGTATCAATAAACTTACTTAAAGAAGTTTTCAAAATTATATTTTTTTGAAAATCAATTTTATTTTGTCAACAGCTTTTGCTAACTTCAAATAAACTAAAGAATATGCAAAATTAACGTCCACAATAACGTAGTTTAGCATGGTTACCATAGCCACTTTAGTTAAAGAAGAGTATTTGATAAAATTCAAATATATTTTCAATTGTATAGAATTGGAAGAGAATCGTTTTAAATCGAAAATCAAATTGTTTATGTATTAGTTTACATCACTGCTGGATAAATACAGCATTGGTAATAAGAGAACATGACTTCTTGAAGAAGTCGTTTTTACTTTTTTTTGTAAATGATTTTAACATCAGAAAATATAACTTTATTTTTATTTAAACTTTAATTTTTTAACATATTTTCTATTAAGCAAACATAATAATTTTTAAATATTAGGAAAGTTTAAAGTTTTCATTTCATTGTGGTTTTAAACAAAATTACCATTTTCAAAAATTAAAGGTTCGGTTATATTCGTTTTCTGTTTTTCGTTAAAGGAGGCTTGTTTGATTATTAATTTGAATATAGTTGATATATTTTTCCCAAGAAATTTTTACTAAATGAATGAAATATTTTGTGTGAATTGTTAATTTGAAAATTTTTTGCAATTTTTAGTACAATTTTTATCATCATTTTTTTTTTACTATTACAAAGAAAGAAAATAATAAATTTTTAATAAAAAATTTGAACAAAATCATAGGGTATACGCTATTTTTAAGTAAAACCACTAGGTATACGCTATCTAAATTTTAAAAGCATAGGGTATTCGGCGTATACCCCCGTATACCCTCCACTACAGCACTGATTGTGATTGCAAAAAAGTACATAAATGAAAACTTATTTTGTAATGAAAAACTTTAAGAAATTAAGAATGAATTTTTATTTTAATTAATTGAATTTGAATTTGTTTTTCTTGAATAAACTTTTTAGTAGGCCAAACTCTAAAAAATAATTAGAATCATTCCAAATTAAATTAGATTTAAAAAATTATTAAAATTTCAATTTGAATAAATTCAGCTTCATATTGCATACTTCTTTTAAATTAACACTCTGTGTAGTTATCATATTTTCTTTCATCATAAATGAATTCGCACTCTAGTTAATAAAGAACATAATGGTAAATAAATTAATAAACTAAAATTTCCAGATATCTGCAAAAAGTTTACGTAAATTTTGGCAATTTTTAATAGAAATTCAATTTAAGTTTTATAAATTTTCAATTGAAGTATTAAAATTATTTTACGAGTATACTGTAAAAAAACAGAAGAGGGTTTTGCAAAATTATAACAAAATTTTTTTTCCGAGTTGAAATCAGAAATCTTTCATATCAAAATAGAATTAAATTTAATTTGCATAATTAATCAAAATTTGGTTGACGCGACCATGCGAAGTTTAGCCACTCCATTTTGGCTAATTGTGGTAATTAATTTTAAATGGAAAAATTTAATGTACATTTCAAATGATTTTACGAAGTTATTGCAATCTATCATATTTTTGTAAAGATCGATAATTGCATAGCAGTAAAAAGTTTTCAATAGTCTTTTACATTTAATTTTGTATAAAATTTATTTATTCAAGCAACTGACATTATACATATAAAATTTTTTTAATTTTTTGATGGTAACTAACATTAGTAAAGTGAAAATCTTGCATCCAAAAAAATTTTTTTAAACCTTATTTTAAAATATTTTCATTTTTAACAAACCTTACCTACCAATTTACTCTCATACCTTACTTATTTAATAAAAACAATTAATTAATTCTTTTTTTTTATCGTTTTAATTATAATATTTTTAGAGAAAAAACGCCTGATAAAAATTTTCATGATCCATGGATAACTAGTGGTAAATTAGGTTCAAAGGATGCTGTTTTAATATTTCGCACCGATACTTTAAATGATTTCGATGATTTACCACTGAAATCAAAAAGTCCATCACCAGCAGTATTACAAGCAACAAGTAGTAAACCAAATACAAAGTCTTTCCAGGTTTTACAAGAAGTTAAAGATTTGGAGCCATTATTGCTATCAGAAAATAATAGTAAAACAATTGTTAATAATACAAGTAATAAAAGAAATATAAATAACATCAATAATAACAACAATAGCAACCCAAATTTAAATAATTCCTCTATAATTAATTTTAATAGTAATAGTTGTATTAAAAACAATAAAATATTAACACCACTGCCAAGGAATAATATTGAAAATAATAGTAGTAGTAGTAGTAGTAACAGTAATATTTTATTACAACATCAAACACAAGATGATTCTCGAAATCAACATCAGCAGAATCAATTGCAACTTCCCCAAAGATCAATTTCTGGTATAATAACATCAGTTAATTCAAATAAAAAATCAACGTCCCAACCAAATTTAGCTAAAATACAAACAATTAATGATTATCAAAAATTAAATCAAAATCGTAGTCCATTAAATTTAATCAAATCTTCGCCAAAGAAACGTTTACATGATTCTTTGTCATCAAGTGAAAGTTCTATTTCAACGGATAATGATGAATTATTTGAATCAAAATCAAATATTATGAAAAATTCTGATAAAATTATAAATGATGTTAAACAAGATAAAGAAAATTATGATCAATCAAATAAGGAAAATATTGATGATTTTCAAATATTAGATCCATGTGATATGCCTGCTTTTCATTTAAATATTACTTATAAGTTTATGAATACTGAAACGAGATTATTGAAAAAAATTTTTGCCCGACATGGCCTAGTTGAATCTGAAAATGATCAACCATTTACTTTATTATGGACTGGTGTTCATATGAAACCAGATATTTTAAGAAATTTAACGCCATATCAAAGAGTAAATCATTTTCCTAGGTAAGGTACCTTGTAAATATTTTTATCTATGAATTTTTATTGAATGTTTGCATATTTTGTTTTGATTTTATCTTCCGCAGATCATACGAATTAACTAGAAAAGATCGCCTTTATAAGAATATTGAGAAGATGCAACATCTTCGAGGTTTTAAACATTTTGATATAATTCCGCAATCATATGTGTTACCGACCGAATTCAAAGATCTTATTACAGCACATAATAAATATCGGGGGCCATGGATTGTTAAACCAGCAGCTTCTAGTCGAGGGAGAGGAATATTTATAATAACAAATGTATGTACAAATTTATTAATTTAGGTGGTTAATTTATTGTTTAAATTTGAATTTTAGCCTGATCAAATTCCAGCTGAAGAGGCGTGCCTAGTGTCAAAATATATAGCGAATCCTTTATGTATTGATGGTCATAAATGCGATATCCGTGTTTATGTGTTAGTGACATCATTCGATCCACTTATTATTTATATCTACGAAGAAGGTTTAGTGCGTTTGGCTACAGTTAAATATAATCGAAATACTGAAAATCTTTGGAATCCCTGCATGCATTTATGCAATTATAGTATTAATAAATATCATTCAGATTATATTAAGTCAGCTGATGTTCTTGATGAAGATGTCGGCCATAAATGGACGCTTTCGGCACTACTAAGACATCTAAGGAGTCAAGGATGTGATACAAATCAATTGATGTCAAGTATTGAAGATTTGATAATTAAATCACTGTTTGCTTGTGCACAGTCTGTAATATCAGCTTGTCGTATGTTTGTACCAAATGGTAATAATTGTTTTGAGCTTTATGGTTTTGATATTTTAATTGATGATACATTGAAGCCTTGGTTATTAGAGATAAATTTATCTCCTTCTTTGGGTATTGATAGTCCTTTGGATACAAAAGTTAAAGCCTCCTTAATGTGCAGTTTATTAACTTTAGTTGGTATACCAGCCTATAGTCCTGTAATGCGAGCACATTATGATACTAATTGGACACGTTTCAGAAATATTGATTATAGCAGAAAAACAGCTTCAGCTGATCCATTAAATTCTGCCATGAGTACTAGTACTGGCGGTGGTGTAAAAAAACAGAATGCTGTTGTTAAAAATGAGAATTTATTAGCTTTGACTACTGAAGAAATAAAAGTTTTAAAAAATTTAAAACTTCAAAATGCTCGTCGAGGTGGTTTCGTGAGAGTTTTTCCAACTGAAGATTGTATGGCAAAATATTCATCATTTTTAGACTCGGTTACTGGTATTCCATTATCAACCACAATGATAGGTGGTCCATCACCCTTTTCAATGACATTTCCACATAATTACAACCATTTGGTATTCAATCATTTTTACAGTAAAGATGCCAAAGATAAAAGTTTACAAGATAATTCATTCGAACAAAGAATGTTACAATATGAACGAGTACTAGAAGCTGGCAAAACGCTATTATATAGGCCGAGAGCAAAGCAACCAAAAAGCATCGAGGAAGGTAAACGATTACGGCGTAGAATTCGGCAATTGATTGAGAATGGTAGTGAATTAACGCATTTGCAAGCACGTCAAGCTTTTTATCATTATCTAGAACTTGTGTTAAAGCGTTTAACAGAAGAACCAAAGAGTCTACATGAAAAATTAATTTTAAAATTTATTAATCGAACTTCTGGTGGCAAATCGGCACCATTTTTAAACAGCTTAAATTTCAAAATGACTAATAAAGATCGTACTGCTATGGTTGCTAAACTTTTAGGTGACTATTTAGATACATATATACGTGAAACAGAAGCGTATATTGATCCATTTGATAATTATGGTATGATATCAATAAATTTATTTAAAGAATTTATTAAACATGCTGATGAAAGTGATTTAGAATCAGTTTTAACTTTAAACACGAATTTAACACATTCAATGCCATTTTTATATAATCGTTGTTCATTTAATATACCAACTGCACCGCCGATACCAACTGGTCCTCATGGATTTTTAAAAGCATTGCCATGTATGGTTCCCGGTTATAATTCACGTGATAATACGAAAATTGATCAGTATTATAAATCTGTATCATCAACTGATGAAAATTGTGAAAAATCAAATGAATCGATTGCAGATTGTAAAGGCTCCCTGTCAAATACTTCAACATCTTCATCAGTGACATCAAAAAATAATAGTAATACAAATACTAATAATAGAAATGTTAAATTAAATTTAAAAGATGGTAATAATAGCAATGGACAATCGCCAAAACAAAAACCACAAAGCGTTAAATCATCTGTGATCACTAAGTCGCCGAAGAGAAAAATTCAATCTAGAAGATAATTTAATTTTTATTTTTCAAATCAATTATTGCCTATCAAAATTTGCTTGTTTAATTTTTTTTTTTAATTAGGTAGAAATAATTATTCGGAATTTATTGAAAATTTATTCAAAAAATAAATCATGATTTATTTGTTTACGTAAATTATTTTAATTTACATTTTGTTTTCTTTTATTAGTTTTAAATTTTTAGAATTATCAATTGAACATCTTAAAAATGTAGAACGTTTTTATAGATCAACAAAAAAAAATAAGACATTCCATAATATAAAAATATTGGGCTTTTAATAAATCAACAGTTTAAAGTAATTTATAGCGGAAAGTGGACTAAAACTACATTTTTTTTTTCAAATTGCAGCGTAACAGATTAAAATTTTTTTCGAATTCTTATAGAGCATTAATAAAATTAAAAATAATTTGGATCTATAAAAACGCTTCACCATATATGTTTAACTTTTAAATTCAAATATATAATTGAAAATAAAAACTAAAATGAGGTATTCCATATTAATGAAGTGATATATAAAAACATAAGAAAGTAATAAATAAAATTGCAATTATGTAGTTAAAAATTGATTGTAGTATGTTAATTTTACTTTCGATATTAAGTTTAATTTATTATTAATTTACAAAATTTTATTTTAAAAATGTATCGTGAACTAATTTTTGTACCATTAATAATTTTTGTTTAAAACAAATAAAATTATTTTTAATTTATTATAAATGAAAAAATTTCGATTTTATATCATAGTTAGGAAAGCATTTAATTGTACAAGTCATTTCTTTCGAATTTTCAAATTAAATTTAGGAAAATCTGTAAACCTTGTAGCAAATTAAATTTAAATTGTAAAATTTAACAAAACAATTACTTTATACATTTTTCCTTGAATGAACGTTTTAAAAATATTTTTTGTTGCCCTACTTTCGATATTTCAATTAAAAAAAAATAAGAAAAATAAATTCAAGTTTCAAAAATATTTTAGAAATATTCAATATTAAGCTATTAAGCATGAAGCTAAGAAAGGCCTAAATATGCTCTCTTAAATTAAGTAACACATAAAAATTTGAAAGAATGACAATACTAAATAATCAGTTCACATTTATTTACCTATAACATTCTTTTTTTTTAATTTTAATTTAAAATATATCATTATTTTTTTAATAATACATAATCAAGTTACATATTTCAAAAACATAGTATAATTTGAATAAAACTTATGTATAATTAAATACACCAAGAAATCGTTTAACAACGAAATCAACCTAAATTTGGTTGTGCTTTAGTACTTAGTCAATAAGCTTAAAAAAAATTACTAATCTAGTCTCAAAATAATACAAAAAATTAAAGCATAATTTCAGTTTTCCATCTGGAATATTGGCTGCAACAGACTAAAAAAAATCACTTTAGATATTAAGTTTAAATAACAATTTATTTAAAAACAAAAAAAAGCACAGCTTTTATATATAAGTAACTATATACTAAAAAATACTAGTTAAATGAAATGAAATATTTTTAGTGCTTTGATGGTGCATTAAGATAATTAATAAATATGTATAATAATAACGTAAGATCTTTGTTCATACAACTACAATATGATGCCATCAATAAAAAAATATGCAGAAAATTTTAATTGAATTGAAATCTTTAAATTTTTAAGATGAAATATAAATGCATAAAAGGTTATACGATATCAACAAGAAGACAGAAATAAAATACATAGTATAATGTACATTTAAATTCTATATTGTTATTAATATATAATTAACATTAATAAGATTGTTAATTATATATTGTCATGACATTTCATAAAAAAAATTATTTTTCATTTAAAAAAATCATCTCCATTATTCCTGAAGTGAAAAAAATCATTACAATTTAAAGAATTATTGTGATAAATTCTTAAAATTTTATTATAAAATTTGTTAACTTAACAAATAAAAAACATTGCATAAATACTTACAGCTCTAATTATGTAGAATTATAAAAATAAAAAAATTCAATTATGTATACTTAAATAATAATAATAATAAATAAAAAAATAATAGAAAAAGAAGAGAAACGAACAATACTATTAATGTTTTTGAAATTTAATTTTAAATTATAAAATTAATTTAACAATAACTTAATATATCAATTTCAATACAATATAGTTGATAAATTTCATTAAATAATTTTAATTTTTGATAAATTGATCTATCAGTTTAAATATTTAAAAAGTAATTTTTTCTTGAACAACTCAATATGTACCATTGAAATATTAATGCTATTATGAAAACTGAAATATTGAACAAAAATAGTATTTTTTTCTTAAATAACAATAGTAATGTTCGTACTTTTAACAATTTTATTTTATAAAATTCAAAAATAATTCAAATAAAATTTTAAGAATAATATTATTCTTTTCTTTAGAAATTTTATAGTAACATTTAAGCAAATTCAAATTTTTGAGAAAAAAATTAATAAAAATAACAAAAATGCTAACACAAACGTATATTTTTTTAAAATATGTAGATAATAGAAAAAATTATCATTAAAAAAAAAAAACAAGAATTTGCCTTAACAAGAAATTTAATTGTAAAGATTAAATTTTTTTTTTTTCAATTACTAACATTATAGAGTACATAACTATTCTACGTATGGATTCTAAATAATTTTGGTAAATTCTAGTTTTTGAAATAAATTGGAATTCCACCAAAAAGATTATTTAAATTTGTATGTATATTTATGCATATATACATATATATATATATATATATATATATATATATATATATACATTAACATATGTATAGTTTTCGTATACACTTAATTTTATAAAATTTCAATAAAAAATTTTTTACTATTAAAATTAAAAAATCTTATTGTTTATTAAAAACAATGTCGCATTTTCATATTAAATTTTAACTGCTTACAATTTAATTAAACTTTGATATTATGCACTTTTTATGCAAATATGTACTTTTTATAATATCTGTACTTATAATATGTTTTCTTCAAGTTGATCTTCAGTTACATTCTATATGGAACATTTCCATTTCCGATAACTTTTTTTGAAAATTAACATTACCTTATGATTACAAAATTTTGCATTTAAATACCATCAATAGTTTTCCAGAATTAAGTGTATACAATTTATATAATATATTAAAGTGAATTTTAAAGCACAAATTAAAATACATATTTAAAATTTTTAATTAATTATGCTTAATATTTATAGCACAAAATGCAAAAAAAAATAATAAAATAAAAAAAAAAACCATGAAAAAACGTAACCAAATTAAATGCTTTTATTTAAAACTTTTAAATATCAAATATTTTAATAAAACAATCTTATTTCTACACAAAAAAAAAATTAAAAAAAAAATATACTAACATTGATTTCCAAAAGAAATAAACATAAATATTTAAAATTTAATTACTGAAAAAATAATAAAATTTTAAAACATTTAAGCTTCTAATTATTAAAAACATGTACAAGAAAAAACAAATCAATTAAATGCAATATTATTAAATTTGAATAATAAAACATTCTCTTTTAAATATTAATTAAATTTTTTTTATTTCGATTTTTTCGTTACGACTACATTGTAAACCGTAGCTTTGTTTGATAAGCTTTGATAAAAATTAATTGAAGCAAATTTTGGGCCCTACTGTGCTCCTCGACGATCAATAGATAAATTTACGTACCAGTATTTTTGCTCGATTAAATTTTTTTTTAATATTCGTGTCTGATTCATACGACGAACAACAGAAAATACCTTATGTAAATATGTACATATGTGTTCTATAAAAAAAATTGTTAATTTCATAATTAATCGAACTTTGATCGAACTATTGTTGGTACATAGTCTGATTTAACGATTTAAGTTTAGTCAAATTTTAAAAGAATAAAAATAATACACAGTTTTTACTTTTACAATAACCCGTTTGAATTTATTGCACCACTATATTTCGATTAATATAATAGCTTAAGAATTTTAATACTATCAAGAATTGTAATGGACATCGAAAATTGTAATATGGGTTCCATGGGTTTAAATTTTAAACCTAAAAAATTTAAAGGAAAAAAAATTAATTAAATATGAAACTTAGCTTGTTTCTTGTTTTATTTTGCAATTAATTTTTGTTTTAATAGTATCTATATAATTTTCAATATCTTCGATTGAGAACTTTTTCTTATCTTGTTTTACTGTATCTTCTAAATTTTGCATAGGTGCATCATTATTTTTCACCTTGAATAAGAAAATAAAAGAATAAAAATAATACACAATTGTTAAAATATTTGTTTTACCATAAAATATCTATACTCTGGGGACAATGATTCCAAATATAAAATTTTCTCTTCGAGAATTTTTAAACGTTCGTAAACATCTTTTGAATAAGATGTACTTGTATTTAAATAATTTTCGACATTTTTTATACGTTCTTCAATTCCACTAGGTGTTGTGTTATTATAATTTGTTGTTATTGAATCGAAAATTTCTTGCTTAACTACTACTTCAGGGATTAAATTACCCATCAATTTGTCTAGCGTTTTAGTATAATTTGAAGGATCTTGTGGCCCAATCTCGTTTTTGACGCGATGAACTAAAATACAGTTTTAAAAAATAAAAAAATAACTTAATGAAAAATAATTTTTCATTAATGAAAATTCAAAAAGCTAATTATGTGATTTGAATGGAAATATGTATCGCATTTAAAATTATAAACTCACCTCTTAAATGACCCTTACAATTTTTCGATTTAATAAGAACTGCGTTTAGTCTAGCACAAGATTCTTCTATATTTTCACTTTTCCCGGCTAATTCGTTTGTGGTAGTAAAATCAAGAATATTATTTATATCTATTTCTTGCCGTTTCTTATCAATAAAACATTTGATTCTTCGTTGAACCTCATTATCATCAGCATTAATTTGTATTAAATGTTTTGGTAAATTAGAAATGATGACCTTGCAATCGTTATTGAAATTAATTTTACGAATCTTACGCTTTAAAGTTATTTCACCTGAAAAAAAGATAACACTTACTTGTAGCATTTAAATATAAAAAAAAAAAATTGAAAAAAATAAAACTTTGTTTTTATTTGAACAAATACAATTTTTACATAATAATAACAACGTCTACTTTCAAAACATTATTAAATGCAGTAACTACATTATTTAATTTTTAAATTTATTTCACAATATCTCTACTCCACTGACATTCTTTATTTTCTTTCCAAGCGGACTCCTCGCCATCATATTTCTCTTTTTTCCATATAGGAACAGATTTTTTTAATTCATCAATTGCGAATTGTACACCTTCAAGACTACTTTGCCGATGTGGTGAACTAACAGCTATCACAACACTGGCCTCTTTTACCGGAACATTTTCTAAACGATGATAGATAGCAATGTTCTTAACATCAGGCAATTTTGTGCGAATTTTATCACATATTTCATTCATAACTTTTGTTGCCATTTTGTCATAAGCTTCATATTCTAACGATATAACCTGTAATTAATCAAAAAGTAAGTAAAAGTAATTAATCAAAATATGTAAGTAGGCATAAGAATATATTAAAAACTTCAAATTTTGTGTTAATTTTTTAATTTTTATTTAAATTTTTAAAATTCACTTATAAATGTAAAATGCTTAGGTATTAGATTTAGTATTTCAATAGATAGGCAAATAGCCCACCTAGCTTCCTACTCTAAAATATTACAACTTTATTGTATGTAAAGCTATTTATTGATATTACATTTGTTTGGTTAACAAGATTCAGTCAAAATTTTGAGCAATAAATTTAAGTGTGTAAGTATCTAGGTACTTAGTTTATTACTATTCAAGTAATGCAATGATCCTTAACATGTCTTTTGATTGAAAATACTTGAACTGGCATATTACGTATTTTATAATAAAAGAAAATAAACAGCATATATCTACATACCTAGTATTTCAAGAAACATGTTTACATTAATTACATGTATACATAATAGATAGTAGTTACATACTATTCCTTAATAATTAAGCTGCAAAGTTTAACATAGTATATGTAGGTACCTATACATGTTTTTTTTCACATATGAATACAAATATTGTAGAAATTATATATTATTATTTCTGGCGGAAGCTTTTTCAAGTGGAACATGGAAAAAAATGCATACTAATTCTATTTAATTGAAAACATTTTGTATTTGTTGACATGACATAATCAGCCACAATAAATTTTAAATATGAGTTTGATGAATATCAAGTAGATAGATAAGTAATTATATGTACATTGCTACTTGGTATTCAAACCCGTATTAAACAAATACATGTGTTTTTCTCATTGTGCCAATTATATAAACATGAAACAATAAATAAAAACATGTCACAAATATAATATACATAATATATATACATTTCATTTTTATACTTATACATACATAATTCGTATATAAAAGTATAAACATAATTCTTAAATTTTTAATCAATTTCGATTCGAATTACCTTTTTATCTTCGAAATTATCTCTTGTTGTTCCCACGAATAAGGATATAGCACCACATGACGAATCTGCTACTAGATCGCTAATTTCTCCCACATTTAAGCTCTCTTCCGTCAATTTAATGTAGTTCATCTTTGTTATTTTGATTTTTTAAACTTCTAGTACCTACCTACCTGTATTTTTTTTTTTACTTTATTTTGGAATTTTTAAATAACCTAAAATTAACCACCACTGATTGGTGGGATTAAAGCAATTTCGTCGCCGCTTTTTATATTAATAATTTCCTTGACATCCGAACAATAGTCTTCGTTAATTGCAATAATCAAATGATTTCGAAGAATTTTAATATTACTATATTCCTCGCAAATTAAATCCAGTAAACTTTCACCTGTTGTCTTTCTCGGCAATTTAAAATCAACTGCGTTTAAATTTGTTAGCTCCCGTAATTTTGCAAAAAATAATATTTTAACACAAACTTTATTATCACTATTTTCGGTCATGTTTTTTTTATTTACTTCCCATTTTTTATCTCCATTAATATTTTTTTTATTATTTTCCACAATTCCGCTATCAAATTTTTTCACTTAAATGACAAAAAAAAAACTAAACTGCCCATAATAAACAACAAAAATTAAAAAACTTCAAAAACAAATGACAACATCAAGGTCAGTCAATAGCGGTGTCATGACAAATTTAAACATAAAGATCAGTACACACAATAAGCAAAATGACATTAAAGCAATTTTAACAAAATTCATTTATTAAAAATTTCAATTTAAAAAAATTTTTTTCAAAGCAATTCATGTGTTCGCTGAATGGAAACTGAAAGAGTTAAAGATTCTTACCAAATTTATAAAGAATACTTGTGTTTTCTGGATTCATATCACAATTTGACAATTGGTGTAACTACCTAACAAAAAAACTCGATATCTGACAAGAAAGTAAAATCTGTTGTTAATACAAATTTTTTTTGCCTAATCGTGTATCTCGCTTTTTCATTTACTAATAGTTTATTCACTTTCATATCAGAATTCTCCGTTTTAAAATGGATATTTAATTTTTCCCATAATACTCAATTGATTTTTGCATTTTTTCTCAAATTGTCTTATAAACGTCTCGTTTTCTAAAGCAAAGTGAGTACAAAATTTTGTATACATTTTAGAAAAAAACGAAATACGCAATACCAAATAAGCCTGCTCAATTCTAAATTACATTATACAAGTGTATGATAGTTACTCACTTTTTTTTCAATTGCTGAGTAAAATAGCGAGATAGACGATCAGGACTATTACACAAAAATTCTCTTTTTTGCAAATAAAATTGATTTATCTTTAACGCCATCTCAAATTGTCTAGCAAAACATAATTTAAATGCAACTTTGAAATCACAGACAAAAGTAATACTGCAACCGTTATTTATATTGCAAGATGCAATTCCAAATTGCAGAACTATTAGATGTACAATTCAACTATAGAAATAGTCTAAATTCAATAATTCAAGAGGTGTTTAAGCTTCGCAGTGTGCAACTGCACCTCACATTATATATTATTACATCTTATTTAAGGATAAAAAAATTATGTATATATCTATATGCATACAGTCAACAATCAAGGATCGATTAAACCGAAAAATGTTATTAATATTAAATAAATTCTAAGTTCTCTTCAATAAATTCCAGCTTTATTTGAAATAACATCTTGAAATTACCAATGACGCAGTACTTCCATTGAATAGGGTTATATTAAAGTAATTTAATAGTAATAATGTTTATCACAAATTAATGCTTAAAAATTTGACAAAAGAATGTTTATTGTGCAAGTACTTTTAATTAAGTAAAATTGACGTCGGGATCTGCATTTAAACTTTTGCCTTCAAAAGCGGAAAGGTATTTGTTCCTTCTGAAGATTATTTTTTAAATTTTTGTAACTGCGGCGCTGACATTTTAACTTTTCCAGGGATATTTCTGGCTAAGGCTTCTTCTTTTATGCCTTTAAGAAGATCCTTCTCCCTTAATGAACATGATTTGTCTTTTGAAAACATTAGTAGAGCCGTTTTAGCTGCTTTGCCACGTTTCCCTGGACCAGGAGTTAATTTAATTTTAAACCTGAAATAATATGTTTCAAAAATATAATCACAATGTTGATAACAAAAATGGAAAGATTAAAATAAGTATACTTACTTATAATGTTGCATTGATTGATAAGGAGCTACAACAGGTATTGCAAATAGTAATTCATCTTCATCTACGGGAATACCTGTTAAAGAATCAAGCATATCCACATCTGCATTGGCTGGAATATCATCTCCATCATCAACATCTTGAGCTTCTTGTTTTGGCTGAAATTGTCTTTTTGTTTTCCCCTTCGTATCTAAATTATCTTCATCAACTTTTTTTGTATCTTTAATTTTATCTTTGCGGGCTGACTTTAGAATAGCCATTCTAAGTTCACGTTCTTCTTCATCTTGATCCTTGTATTTAGTCTTGATTTTTTTCAGTTTTCCTTTTTGACCACGCTTAACTTGTGATTGATTTTGCTTTTCTTCATTTCGATTACGATATTCTTCGGCCTTTTTTTCCTTTTCAGCTTTCTTTTTTTTAGAATTTTGTTGCTGTTTTGTTCTTGTTGGTGCCGCTGGTATTAGATAAATATCTTCTTTAATTTCCGTATTACTTTCATTGGTAATATTTGGAATCTTGTTTTCTTCCTTAGAGTTGACCCGTACAGTTATTTTTCCTGTATCATGTTCGACTTTTATATGAGTATCTGGAAATTTACTGCTCTCTTCGTCAGAAGATTCTTTATCAGAATTTTCGCTTTGAATTTCTTCTTCGTTTATACTTTCATTACTTCCATTTTTTTCATTGATTACCTTAACATTTTGAGTTTCAGTATTTTTATTTTCGTCTTCATTATCTGAATCTTCTAAGTTAACCTCTTGCTCTTCAGGAACACTATCTAATTTTTCATTTTCAATTGTTAACTGTCTCAAGCTCTCAACATCATCATCATCAAAATGTCTTACTTTTCTTTCGCCTTTGTGTCTTTCTACAGAACTCTCTTCTAATTTGAAAAGTAGTGTTAAACCCATCACTAAATGACATGGTGGTAAAAAGTTCTTTTTTCCTCTAATCATAAAGCTACCTGTGCCTAAGTATTCTCCAGAAGGAGCAGTTTTACTAACTTGTTCACTTTTAACCCAATATGCATTTGTAACAACTTTAGCATCCCACGCAACAGAATATGATATAGCCATTGTTCCAGCTTCTAACAATGTTTTTGGAGGAATTTCCCCGCCAGTTGGATTTCTAATTACAACGCTGGAAGCACCTTGAATTTCTGCGTGAACATAAACATCAGATGGACGCATATATCTGAAATATTTTTAAAGGATTTGAAAACAAAAAAAAGGAAACAGAAATTTTACCTTTTAACAATAAGCTCGTTTTGTTGCGCATCTCTGCCGCCAATAACTAAGTAGTTTTCCGAGCTTATAAACCAATAAAACTTTTCAAACCAATAAACTTTTCTAGCTTTGGTGATCGTGGAAATGGTACGTACTTCTTTAAGCGTTTGCTGAGTTTTTCTTTCAGCAGATTTGAGAGCTTTTTCGGAAGCATCTATAGTTTTTTGTTCTTTTTTGGCTGCTGATCTCTTTTGATCATAATATTTTCTAGCGTTAGCCCAAGCTGACAATGCTAAATCGACGTCTATTACCAAAGTTGGCAAAGTTTCGTCATCATCTTCGTTATCATGATCTTCACTGGGACAAGATACGTTTTTGAATGGATCTGATAGTGTCAATGCTATATGATTTACTTCTAATTTTAACTGTTTTATTGAGCTAGCTACAGGATCACCATTTAGCTGCGCTGCTTTTACTAGATCATGTATATCTGGCCAAGACATTTGATTTGCTACAGCACTTCGCACTGCCAAAATTGCGTTGTCAACAAGAGCTTGATTTCTTGTAATAAGTTCAGCCTTTTGTTTATCTTGCTCTTGAACTTTTGTCAATTCTTCTAATCTTTTGGCATGGTCTTTCTTAACATTTGACAATTTTTTTAAGGCTTCTCTTTCTTGGTGAACGGTTTTAAGATCAATTTTTTGACCTTCCAAAGTTGAATAAAATTCATCAACACATGCCATAAACGATTCATATTCTTTGATGTGTTGATCGTGGTACTGAACAAATTTATAGGGGTGATACTCCAGATTATGATAAAAATATTCTTCTTCTCCTGTTTCAACAGCTTTTAGTTCCTTTTTTTGAATCATGTAACCTTAAATATTGAACGATTAATTTTAAAAATATTAAATTAACCTAAATAAAAACCTCGAGAAGGAGATTTCTTAGCGTCCGCAACAATTTCATTTGATAGATCGATCGCTTTCATCAAATTTGGGAAATCGATTTCAAAATCAAAACAACGACCGTTTTTGCTAGAATGGTCTTTTTTCTTCTGTTTTTTGCTTTTTTTATTTTGAGTAGGATTCTCAACTTCCTTATTTTCAGTTTCACCAGGAATAGTACAATCATCTAAATCATATTTTAGTAAAACATGAGTAATTACTGAAGGACCACATTCCAAAAACGGAACTAACACTGTTCTCAGGTTTTCGCCAGGTTTAGCTGATTTCAAAACAGTTTTAATGTATTCTTCATTAATATTGACACAACTTTTGGCTCTGTCAACAGGATATTTTTCACGAACAGCAAAACGTACGGTTTCTCCTTCAGTATGTGGTCGTAATATGTTAAGTATTGTTAATTCATGATCTGTCAATAAAATGTTTCCTCTGTCATACAATTCAAGTATTATATGATATGCAGCCTCGCCACTTCCAAATTGAAAATCAACAATACGGTCAATTCCAAGTTGTTCAACTTTCTCCAGGCGTTTATTTTTTAGATGTTTTCTTAACTTCATGCTAAAACCGGATGGTGCTACATTTTTTGGCCATTCAAAAGCTGTTGGGTGGAATCGATTCCCGGATTCCAGCAGTAATACCTCTTTAGTTTCACCTTGTTGGAATCGTATTAAATAAGTTTTATTATCAATATCATATATCTGATTCACTCGAAGTCCGACTAATCTAAAAGTTTATCATAATAATCAGATCAATTTAAAACGAAATTAGGTAGGTACACCTACATATTTACAATTATACTCAACTTAGAACTTACCTTTGAAGCTCTGTAACGCCACAAATTATGTCAAATGTGTTGAATCGAACTTTCATTTTGTATTATTAAGATGGAAAACTATTTTTAGTGTAACATTAATAATATATTTTTAAAAGATCAACTAGAAAAAATTTGTTTTATTTTATACTTCATCACACGTTAACAAGAAAACGTCAAATTACGATTTGCATCACAATTTCGAGCTGAGAACTTCTGTTTGTTGATTTTGCTATTGTCTCTTTGATTCACAGTGATTAATATTTGACATTTCATTTGACAATAAATTTCCCAAATAAAAAACTAAACATTCACAATCGCTTTGGATTTTTGTTAAAGGTACATAATATAATGAAATTACTTCATACTATCAAATACTACTTTCAAAATGTATATGAGAGTCGAACAATTTTTTTTAATAAACAAAAAAATTTGAACTGTTACCTAAATTATATATTATTAAAATAATAATAATATATTACAATTTTACTAACATTTATTGTTTGATCTTCCCGACTATATTTGCGACAGGTACGTTTCTCTATTGTCCGAAAATTACAACTATTTACAAGAAAAGTTTTCGGTTTCCTCTTATGTACCCAAAGACTGATTTTAAATTCTAACATTGAAATCAATTCGTAAATAAATATCTACCTCGCTATTTTACTCGAAAAATGAGAAGAAAGTGTGTAACTCTCATATACTTGTATAATGTAATATTCGGACGAGAAGATTATTTGGTAATGCGTATCTCGTTTTTTTCTAAAATGTATACAAAATTTATTCACTTTGTTTTTGAAAGTGAGACGTTCAGTCGATAATTTGAGAAAAAACGCAAAACTCCAATTAAAAAAATGAGTAATCTTATTGAAAAAGTAAATTTGACGCTTAATTGACTTTTTTTAAACGTTTAAGAATTTAAGCTTTGACTGAAAGTAAAAACGCAGTAGAGAATTCGTAAACTGAGACAACTCAGTTTTTGTAAAATTTGACGTTTAAGAGTTTACCATTTGTTTTACTTTTATTGAATAAATTAAAAGTTGTACCTAACATTTATCTCATATAATAATGCCTAAAATATTTCTATATCAAAAAATTATTTCAGTTGGCTAAATTTCGCTGCTTTAATTCTTCGATTTTCATATCGTTTTTGAAGTTTGTTGCATCAGCTATTAAAAGCAAAATTGTAATTAAAAACAATTACAGTAACTTTTCAAATTGTGAGATTTTCTTTGATGAGAAAGAAAATATAATTCGTTAGAATATTTTTTTTAGTATCTGAAATACATATAAGTATGCAATATTTTACAGAAAAGTTTTTGAATACATACATACATACATTATTTATACAAATTATATCGATTCAAAAACAAACAAAATCGAAATTGTTAAAATTTCGATTTTCGAATTATTAGTACAAAATCATATGAAATGAATAAAAATACGAAAAAAAAAATTAACAATAAAATATAATAAAAAGTAATTTCCATTTTTGTCATCATATGTTTCGTAAATATACATTTTTGAGGAATTTTCTATTTGTCATGCGTTTTCCATCAATAATCATACATACTAACACCTATAGAAGCAGTGATGGTTCTTGATAAAGGAAGTGGGGGGAAATGTATTTTTTGGGGGGATTTGCTATACATATATGTATATATGAAATAACACGATAATATTAAAATATCCTATAATATTGAAAAAAAGAGAAATTAAAATAAGAAAGGTAAAAATTCTGAAATATTATTGGGATGTTAGAAAGCATAAGAAAATCGAAATGGCTGCCTGTTTTGACATCCGTACGGGTTTTATTTAAATTAATAATATATATATGTATATATATTATAAGCTCATATATATATATAAAATTTTCATAAATTAACAAAAAATCTTTTAAAAAATAAAAAAAAAAATAAATTTTATATTTAAAACGGTACTTCATTATATTATTAAGTTTTAATTATGAAATAAATTTTGAAATATAAAATGAGAAATAATAGATTTATACAATTCCATATATACGGTTTAATAAATAATTAAAACAAACGGTTTTCGGATGTGAAAAAATATAAAAGAAGAAAAAAAAAGGATATAAATTTTATTAAGTTTTTCGCAAAAAAAAAAACCCTATCAACATAAATGTATGTAAATTAAGTATAATTTGTTAAAAATCGAGAAAAGAAACAAAGGAAAATAAAAATACGAGTATAATTATTTTTTTATTTTAAATATTTTATATTTAATTATTTAAAAGATTATTTTAAATATTTTTTTAAATTTTCATTGCTCGCCTAGTTTAAGGATATAAAAAGGCAAAAATATTGAAAAGGAAAATTTTATTTTCACTTGGAGTATGTGTAACAAAAAAAAATCATAAAATTTTTTTCATATTTTATTTTCATAAAAGAAAAAATTTAAAATATTTATAAATTTTTGTAAAAAGAAATTTTCAAATGAAATAAATTAAATACAAAAGAGTCAATAATTAAATAAATTATTTAGTTTTAATATTTTTAAAAGTGTTTTCAAGGAAAAAGGAAAAAAAAAAATTTTTTCAACTTTTATAATTTTTTGTGAAAATCTAAGTAAGGAAAATTGCAAAATACATACATATAATATATATATGTATATGTATACATATATACACTGCTAAAATATTAAGAATAATTTCAAAAAAGTTATATATTATATATATATATATATAATATATATCTGTATATATATATGTAATATATATCTGTATATTAGTAAATTTTGAAGAGCACTCCACATCTATACACTTAAAATATTTTATAAGCAAGTGTTAGTGAATATATTAAGCATAATATAATACTGTATACCTATAATACATATTTAAAATGAAAATAATACACAAATACATATATGTTTATATAAAATAAAAAAAAAAAATATGTGTTTTTTTTTTTTGTACACGTATACATATATATATAAAAACATTAAATTTAAAAAGTGTATAGAGCATGGAGTTTCATTTTACAGCATTGCAAGAAACAAGAAATATTGAATTTCTTTCATCATGACGTTAAATATTTTCATATCGTACATATATACATATAAAATTAAATAAATAAATAAATAATATGCACATATATATATACTTATATATATATAATTTAAAGAAAAATAATCTATAAAAAAATATGTGTATATATTATGAGGATATAATATAGATATATATTTTTTTTTTCTCTATATTCTGATATCAATGCCATCATCTGGCTTATTAGATATCATAAGAGATATATAATATATATGTATATAGATATATACATCCACGGATATATGTATATATAAATAAACAAAAATGTATATGAGGAAAATTTTATTGTTAACATTTTAATTTTTTTTTTGTAGTTTTAGATGTGTGCGCTGATAATTTCATATTGAATAATATACATATATTATAATAATAATATTGAATATATGTATAATATTTTTCGTATATATACATATATATAAAGTACATATACAATGACAAAAATAAAATAAAAAAAAAGTGTATAATATAGGAATATGTGCTTAGTATTATGGTGTATCTTAATATTTATAATATTGGAAGGATAATAATTAATATGTAAACATGTACATATATATAAAAAAGGACATGGATTGAATTTAAGTTTTCTTCCTCTTTTTATTTATGTATATTTATTTTGAATTTTTTGTTTTTTTTTTTTTAATTTTTCAGAATTTTTATTTCGTTTTTGTTTAAAAATATTTTTTTTTTTTTTACATTTTTCATGTTTATTTTTATTTTTTAATTCAAATTATTTTTAAAAATTTTGAATAATGAAGAATAAAGGAAATTATTTCAACAATTTTATTTTAGATTTTCAAAACTTTAAAATTCTTATAAAATATGACATTCTCTTTGAATAAGAACTTGTTCTCTTAAAATTATTCGTCCTGTCCAGAATAAAATGAAAAATTTAGCTTAAACTTTTTTTTATTTTTTTGGTTTTCAAAATGAGAAAAATAAAAAATAAATAAACAATTTTCAAAATTTATTTTATTTTTTTATATGTATACGTGCATATAGGTATATAATTATGCATATAACATTTTTTTATATACATATTTCAATATATTTTTCCTATAAATGACCATGTTACAATTCTACATATAAAATAAACGGGGGGAATTATTAAAAAAAATTATATTTATTTTTTTAGGTTTTTTCAAAAAATCGTGTAAAATAAATTAAAATGTACGAGTACTCATAGAAATTATAAATTATCAATAATATGTGGGAAAGGCTTTGAAATTTATATAAATAAAAGAAAAATATCCCAAAAAACAAAAAAAAACGCAAAAAGTAAAAAAAAAAGAGTAAAGAGAAAAATATACTAAAAATGTTTCAAAAATTTGATTTTGAGTAATGAGAAAAAATTAGGAAAGAGTATAAGACGAATAATAATAAAAATAAAAACAAACAAATAAAACAAAAACCCCAAAGTTATATTCTTTATGTTATAGCAGCCATTTTATAATTTCTACGAAATTTTATTTCGAACTCATATATACTTAAATATTCATTAAAAATAAGAAAATTTTTAATAGATATAATTTCATAGTTAAATAATATTAATACAAGATTTATAATATATTATAAATAATAATATTTATTATTTATAAAATTAAATAATTTATGTATGCGTTGTAGTTCTTCTCCAATTAGTAAAATAGCTTGCATATAAAATTTAATTATTAGGTTTTTTTTTGGTATTTTGTTGAAATATCAAAAACAAACAATGCAAACTTATATACAATGTTTTTGTGTACATATATATATATATACAAGAGTATTGAGAGAATCTTTAATATAGAAGTAATAACAACAATATTAATAATATTGTTTATTGTTCATATTGTTATTCTTACAAATTATTATTATACTGTTATTGTTAAATGTGTTTTTGGAAAATAAAAAACGTTTTTAATAATTTATCATCATCATATCTAAATCATCAATATTGTATATAGAACCAAGTTTGAGTTTTAATTTCAAAAAAATTGTTTCCAATTACAATAACGTCAGTACGTTTTTCAAATTTGCGGGTTAAATTTATTTTAAATATTTTATAAAATTTTAAATAATACGGTTTTTGTACTAAGTATATATAAAATAAATTTAAAATATGTTATATTGTTTTATATATTAATTTTATACTTTTCATAAAATTTCATTACTTTAATTCTATATTTTATTTGAAA